GATTCAAGTGACTGCTTAGAAGTCCATTATATAGCCTAAACATATGCTAATTTTGCTCAAACACTTGATAAAATAGGTTTCATTTTTATTTTATCTCCTTTTGTTGAGTCTGTGTTGATACAATTTTCATTAACAGTCGACCACCACTACCAGTTAGGGACCTTGCAACCAGCTTCAGTAATTAACGGAAATAGTAAATGGTCTATCTGGGCGTCGTGAAGTGTGGGCTAGTGCATCTCCTCATTTTTTGCACAGGTTTAATTAACCTGAATTCGGTGTCTTTCTGTATGTTTTCACCGTTGTCGAAATTTTTCTTCTTCCTGTCAATTCATTATTCTTCAACTGAACATGGGTGAGGTAAGTCAAGTTAGGCAGTCCTCTATGTACCCAAAAATATCCGAAAGAAAGCAATCCCGAATAGCCTACTAAGTGAAAACTTTTAAGACATTTGCGTACGGTCGAGTAGGAAAAATGTATGTGAACATTTCTATCTAATCGTTTTAGTCTTACTGTCAGTATGATATATCCTTTTACGGGTTGTCGGTTAGTACTGTGGTACTTTGTTTGAGTTTATCCTGTATAGATTACTGTCAATTACTTCATTCAAAGCAAGTAATTTTAGTGAAAACATGAAAGAGATATGTGCTTATTGTGATTTGGAATGATGTCGTAGTAACCCCTTACATTGCATTGTCGAGTATGCCACCAAAAATTTACCTACCGTTGATCGCGTTAATTATAAAGCGGTAAGAGACAGGACGAATTATCGGACAAGAACGTGTGAACTATAGCGGATAGGGAAAAAAGTCTATTGTTCATTGCGAAACGTTCGTCGTTAAGCGGAAGAAGGGGTGAACCCCAGAATTAAACACAGACCTGCTCATTGCTTAGGAATCCGGTTATATAATCCACAGTACTCGGAATCACGAATTATCGTTTTCCTTTTTTACTTTGCTTCCTTGTGCAGAATACATCACCATACAATTTTCAGGACTAGGAGAAGTCAGATGGCGGTGATGGTCAAAACCGCATCATCCGGGGTGAGCCAAACGATCCGCTAGGTCGGTCGGCTCTCGATATGGCTAATGGGGATAGGTGAAACTTCTAGCCGCTAGCTTGTGTTCATTTTTCGATAGCGTTTTACAGTGTTTGTTCCCTGAAACGAGGCTGATAGCCGATTACAACTTAATAATTTTTGTTTGACCAGTGACTTGAGAGTGAGTTTTGCCTCATTATTTTCAATACCACACGGGTGTAACGAATCAGGATGGCTCCGCGAGACAGTTCGCTGTGGTGGCTCGAAAATGCGTACATTCTATTGTACTGGGGGTTTAGTGTCAGGTATAACAACGTTTGTTTCTTGTCATGAGCTGAAATTTATATCGAAGTGAACCGATGACTTATTTACTGCATTTGGTTTGGATGGCATGTGGTTTCAACTAAAGAAGCAGAGCAGTTGTAATACTACAACAACAGGTTTCTCCAAACGGTCCCTTTCGTCGATATCCAGATTAAATATCATCGTTTCGTTGAGTTATTTTCCGTAAACAATCAAATTGAAACTCGTGAAGAACCGAACAGTGTTCGGTGTAAGTGACTACCCGAAAGAAGATGGGGAAATGCGGGTGTGAGAATGAAAGATTAACTTTTCATTTTTCCTGCTAACGAAGGTGCTAAGTGTGTGACAGATCAAGAGGTGGTAATTACTTGTAACTTGTAAGCTAATAATAGCGGTAATATTGGTAGAAACGGATGATTTTTCAATCAATCAGAAAAATCCACACGAACACACGTTGAGGTCCAGGTGACCTCAAACATGTATAACTATAAATGGCTCATTCTAGCCTTTAGAAACTCCAAAGAGAGCAGCTGATTTGTTTACTCCCGCCGTGCTATGGCACTTCCAAGAAGAATCATATTGTTTAAACGAGAATATAAAGTGACCGGGTGAATGAGTACAAAACACTTACCGGAACAAGCCTCATCCAGATCGTGTTTGAAAAAGCTGAGCTTTTCCGAACTGGTAGCACAAGTGTGGAATTGAAGTCTACGGAAGATTGATGGGATTGTGAAAGGAAACGAAAGCATAATAATGACGACTAAACACTTTTTCCAGTTTGTGATTTCCTTTTGGGGGTGTAAAAATTGTTGTCATCATGCAAAATAAAACATGGATTGATAAAAAACTCGTTTTGAGGACTTCCACATCTTTTCAATGTTGGGCACTATTTAATTGCGTAAAACTGCCAATTGCCTCAATAAAGTCTGAAACGGTATTCAAAAAAGTCAGTTTCGCTAAAATGGCATGTTTACTGGGGGATGAGGAGTTAGGATATTGATGATTAAAAGTTATCATTTACTTTATTTACTCAACTGTAAAAAGCACGTCACATATGCACCACTCGTCTGTGAATTGATAACGAAAATTGATTCGCAAAAATTAATCACGTTTAATTCGATAAGTGGGTTATATTTTTCGCATCAAGTTTTGAAATAGGATCATAACAGTCTTGTTGCCATTAATTGCTTTTAACTTTCAAACATGGACCAATTATCATAAATGTTGTCTTTTAATACGCGAAAAGTTTGTTCCAAATAATAAAACCTTTCACACACTATCTTAGCGCATTCTGACAACTTCTGCGTGAAACGTTCTCTTGCAGCTCCAAAACGAATGCTTTCTTCGATAAAAATATAATATGGTCTCGCAAACATTATCTTGTAGTACGAATGCACTAAGCCAGCGGTAATGTAATGAAACATTTTTACAATCGGCTCTTCCCTTTTGCAGATATCTGTGTCACAATCAGTTAATGTGACACCGCTGCTCTGGTGCTTAACTAATTAGGCTCCCGATTGGGCAACAAAGGGGATCACTGGCCCTTGGGAACCTGAACAAACTGAAGTTCAGTAGAACAACATTACTGGTTATTAAATCCCTAATTAGGAAAGCCTGATTGCATGAGTTTTATCTTGTATCATCTCACTGGCGAATAATGAATACAACTGCGATCAAGTGCTATTTACGGCCTTTGGTCTGAGAATAATTTTTGATACATATTTCTGCTATCTTACCTTTTTGCGAAAGATTGCAGCTGTTGTCAATCACCTCTGGTTAGGTTAATATCTCTGCCTTCCAAGAAATCCTTTTATCACAACAGACTACTAAACAGTAGCATAATATCATTCCCCTCAATTCTATCGATTTTTCAATTACATTTGAGAAAGTGCAATTGACTACAACCCATTATGAAATCTCAGTGTCAAACAAAAACTGAAAATATCTGAAATTTGTCAAATCCTTTTGCAGAAAAGCACGATCGTATTCAACCGAGAATGAAATACACATAGATGTGCAAAAGCGACAATTACTTCGTTTTCAACGGTGATAATCATTCGTACATTTCCATCATCCATACTGTTAACCCGTGTTTGTTTTTAGAATCTTCCCCTATCCGAGGAGAGAACATCCTCGCGGAGAACAAAAACTCGGTTACCTTCCTTTAATTTCAGTAGAAGAAGTAGTAAAAATAATTGACAAATGGATACAAGTGTTTCGGTTACATGTGTAGATGTAATGAAAGCGTGATGTAGCGCCATTCCTGTTTTAATTCAAGACTAAAAAATTTCCACCGGTACTTCTGTCTTACGCCAAATAGAAAACAAAACTTGGGAGTGGCGTATGGAAGACCGGAGATTATTGTCAAAGAAACCTTGTTGTATTTGGGACCCTAATTCGAACCTACAGGAGAATGGCAGGACACGTAGAACTGGCTGTCATCCCCTCAAATAGATTCGCTTATTATGCAACCCATGTCCACACGAATTGTGTGGTAGAGTTTCGGAGTATGACCAACAGGAAGACCGAAAAATGTGTACGGATCCCTAGCTGATATGGTTTATGATACAGTATATGTACAGTTAATGATCATACTCATGCAACATGACTCTCTTTTTGGAAATCTATTTCAGTTTGCAATATCATACTAATATATGGATGGCTATAGGTAAACTGTATTTATTCCTGACATTATCTCCAACATTTATGTTCTTAGTCATCTTTTATCACCACTTGAATTTGTACGACCGGCTATCGGGCAAGCATGGTGCCAACGTCACAACAATGATAACAATGACAGGGTATAAGAGACGAGTAAAATAAAATAAAAAGTTTCGCACCATGAAATTCATCGAGTTTCTACCAATTGTTGCTGAGACGTGTTTTAGACTACTTGTGAGTAGCTGATAACTTATCCGTAAACGTCTTGAGAGAAGCTATAATTTCGACATCAACCCTCTTGACGATCATGTGCCGATACAGCAAAGAATCATTCAGCAGTTGATCACACCGTTTTTTATGCGTTTGAGATTGAAAGCTAATGTATTTGTAGCGCTTCACGAAATGAACTTACCGAAAAATAATCTCCTGCAGATTGGACGAAATATCCGGTCGTAGGTAGCACGCAATCAGAATGTCTCCATGTAATGGAAGCACAGGTTCAATGGGAAAAACATAATTTTCCACACAAATGTTAATGTTTGGACACCTGAGGAAGGGATGCAGAAAAAACAGAGTTGAACGTCAGTTCAGTATTTTTCAGCTGTTTGCTTCACTGATGTTTTACTCAACAACAACAACGGTTGATTGATTAATTTATATTAGGACCAACTCAAAACTAAATAATTCTTTAGGGACAAAGTGATGAACATATGTGGAAAAAGAGAGCCCAGTGATCAGAGGTATTTCTACTGTTGTATAACACAATAGATTGGAGGGAGGTATGTGATCTGGTAGTATCGATCCAATAGGTACACCGCACGTTCAATCTGCATCCTCTTCTGCCCAAGGACGCCAAAGGGCGCTGTAAGACTGTGAAAGAGTTGCTTCAGTATACCTATAGTTCTGAATGGAAGCTGAATGCGTCGATTAATGACTGATTTCGGCCGTCGATTTATTGATCAAAAAAGTTATTCCTGTGAGTACCAGATGAATGGTCGGTCTAGTCAAGGGACTTAACGACTTAACCTCGCAGCAAGCTTGTTTAAGCAGCACTCATCTAACAGGTGCACTATATATATATATATATATATGAAACGTTTCCTATAAATTCAAAAAGTTTAAAACACTGATAGTTGGTAGCCGAAACACAGATGTAATTGCATTCTTTGTCATCAACAACTATGGGCAGTTCAGTGTGACAATCGGAATGTAAAAGCAGGAAAGAAAGCGGCATTTTTATTCTAGTCTAGACAAGTATCAGTTATAAATGATATACATATCAAAATGTGTCACAAATTTATAAGTGAATTAACTCCGATAAACCATCCGCATTGGATGAACAATCACGTTATATGCACTTGATCTATTTTGGATATTTTTTTAACCTGCAACTTGAATTGTTATTAGTGTTAATGGTGTTGATAACAAAATCAGCTTTTAAAATGTTTTGCGATTCACTTATTGATAGTTAAATGCACAACTATGAGTCACTTTTACCCATATTATACAATTTTGGAATGCACCAGTTTCCGTCACTTCAGAAAATAAATGATGAAAAATTCGGGAATTTAAAAGGCTTTTTGCCGTTATCGTATTGCATTTGTGGAAGAAAGGTGAGAATTAGAAGGAAAAATACCGGATACATGTCCACATGATACTCAAATCGACGAGATCGATGTCTCAAAAGCAACGTTGCTTCGGCGATAGAGCGAGATGTTATTTTGTGATCATCTTTCACTTAACAGAACCAGTGGCTTCATTGCATTTGTGGTACTACTTACACAGATCACATTGAATTGGAAGAATTAGATTGCTGTGCATGAAAACATGTTTGGAAAAGCTTATCGGAATTTTACTTGCAACTGATATCTCCTCCCCTTACTTATTAACTTGGTAATCTGTGAGTCTAGTTTATCAATCAATCGAATTTAGCTCAACTTTGTGTGACCGACACAGTGTTCAACTTTCCATCGATTCGTCTTTTGCTGCTGAGGAAGTTGTGCAAATTTGTTTTATACGATTATAGTAAACTTACAGTAACCGTGTTGTGTGCATCAGTTTCAAATTCTGATAAATTTTCAGTAAAATGCCTCCATCTCCCTCCATGAATGTGCGCAAGGAGTGCAATCCTCGAGTCCAGTCTGTAGTTCCACCCGTATCCGCAACACTCCCATCACCCACAAGTTCATCAGCACCACCATCACCTCGTCCAGTGCGCATCTCACGCTCAATGGTACTCGTCAAATCACATAGCCTTTCCTGCTCGGTTGGAAAAATCCCGTTCACTCGATACGTGGAACCAGAAGGACCTGTTTGTTGTGATTCATCTATACCCGCGGTTGCGTAATCCATACTTGCCAAACGGCCCCAATCCCAAACACTCACCGGAGCCGGTTGCGTGGGGCTCCATTCAAACAGACGTGACTCCGGTCCTGGTGGAACCACGGATGGCTGTTGACCGTCCGGAGGCAGTGGTCGCAAGTCGTCCGGATGAGCGTAAATTGAAGTGTCCATTTGGACATGGTTGTGGTCCTCGTGGTTGTTATTATTGTTATCGGAGCTGTTAGCTTCGGCGATCGGTTCCAGGCTGGCTCCCACGGTAGCTGTTGTACTTAGTAAACGGCCGCGTGATGGATTCCGGTAGACCACAGCGTGCAAATAAACCAAACGATCTTGTAAGATCAGTGCTCCGGTAACCAGCCCGGAGAAATAACCCACATATCTGCATATAAGTTAGAGATTCAAACAGACAATGTCAAAGTGTATGTATTAATTTAAGGAGTACCGTACTGTTAGACTTTGAATGATATACTAAGAAAAAAGCTATCTGAGAAATCAGTGCATAAATTTCTTAGTCATTTTACTCAATCCGCTGTATATCTTGAACTTCCTCATGCTCATGCTCAACTTTTCCACTTGAATCCAAAGCAATGCTGCTGTTGACTAATAAAACGTATTTAAAGTTGATCGCATTCCGAAAACTATACAAAAGAAAAACTGAGTAACAAAAGCTGCTCCCCTTGATCTAAAGCGTTTGCACTCTTTGTCACTGAACGTGCTTACTTATGTTAAGACACCGCAAAGGACTTATTGTTTACCGAATGCGATAACACTTCTCAAGTTTCGAATGCCGGTTCTTAACTCTATTTATTGGGAGAAATTTTCTAACGTTTAAGGGGCTCCTAGTTTACAACTAAGCACAATAATAATTTGATATGATTAACTTCAGGGGATACAATTTCGCAATTTTCCTAAATAGCTTACGATTTAGGTGATTCTTTAATCTTCTCCAAGATATTTTCCCCCCGAACTGGGGTGGAGGATGGCAATTTGCCTGAGCATAACTTCGTCAATGAACTTATTGCTCTATCATTCCTACTCAGTCTCCGTTTAACTTATTTTCCATGAACCAATCTACTTTCAAGCATGATTTAATTCATTATGTAATTGAGTGAAATCCTAAATTATTTATTTTTGATATTCAAATCCTTTAAGTGAATTTCCACAATTATGTTGGTCCGAGGTTATAACATTTTGATGCTGATGGTGACGTGGTTTATGATGTCGTGACGTCAGCCTAAAGGCAGCATATTGCAATCTTTTATTTACCAATTCTGTATCATAGACGGTTTCGCGTTAAACACAACCTCCATGTAAGTACTGCAGTTACTATATCAACAACTGAAGTGAAAATCAATGGAAAAACGGCTCATTCGTCAGTTTAATGCACAGGTGATAATTCTTTGATACACAGTGTACTACAGCTTTCTCAACACTAACATCATAATCTCTTTTCCTCCAGGCGACACAGCGTTCTTAAGTACTTTACGCCATTAGATATACATTTTCCCATAGTCTTTACATTCCTGAGCACAAATATTTAATTGGGCTGGATACATGCTCTATTCTTCCTTTTGTCTGGGTAAATTTCTTCTAATTTCATAGCCTACTTTCAACTTTACAAGTAGTAATTGCTAAATAATGAAATTGATTTCGCTCCATTGATGGTTAGTGCAACATGTTGTTTCGTGAAAACTGATTGTTTCACTGCTTGACACGTGTGTGTCCGTGAACTGATAGAGGTTATTATGTACATTATTTCGTTATATGACCCGGACAGAGGGGCCCCGGAACTATCAGCGACGCGACTGGTTAGATGTGCGGTAATCGTCAGTTCACTTATTGACTAAGACAAACACATCATTTGGTTTTCACGTTCAATGAGGCTCATCAGATCACACAGCTGCATGGTGTAATTGATTTCTTGCCATTCCGACTGCTCAACTAAACCACAACCCGACTGAATGCAATCATCTGCAATAGCTGTTGACTTACCGGTCTACATCCTTACGTACAAATCGAAGGATGTACCCCAGTACTTGGTGCTTTGATTGCTATCACCAGTAGATAGAGTTACCTGCCTACCGCGTTTCTCCATGGTTTTGTAAACAATACTTTCCAGTGAGCAACTGATATCAATTAAAAATTGGACGTTCTTTCGATCGTTCATGAGTGAATTTACCGTTTCTGTGAAGGACTAAGCTCACGGGCCAAATTGTCCTCGTAAAATCGTTTGAGAATCATGTGTCCGAGGACAAGTTCGTTACGAAATCTGAAATATAGAAAAGAATTTGAAAAGATAAAACGATTAGAGGATACGATTGTGTGCCATAATCGAAAAATAAAAGTTAGGGGTTAAAAGGTGAAGAAAACAAATGAAAAGAATCTACGTACTTCGTAGTACATGATTGTCACTGACTGAAATAAATAACTACTAAAAGAATGAATTTCACGTGACATTTTCAACATCTGTATGCTTTTCTGGTTTCGAGAACTGTTGGTTAATGTGACGAACGAATTTGAAAGGTATGATTAAGCATCATTCTTAATCGGTTGCAAAAATTCGTGCGAGCCAAATTCAACCGCATTTGGACATACAATATATTTGGTAAATGCAAGCAACAAATCCTGATGAAGAACGATGCACGGAAGATAGGTTTACGACAAAATCATC